ATTTTAAAACATAAAGCACAATTATTTGTTTATATAATAAAGCATTATGCCTGAAGAAAAAATGAGGGACACCAGATTTGAACTGATAACCTTTAGGAATTTCGACTGATCAAAGAGATCTGATCGTCGCTGGAATCTAACGCGCTACCGTTGCGCCAGCCCCCCATTGGTTGAACGAACTGCTCGTAATTTCTATATAGACACAGTCGGAACCCTCAGATACTTGAATCTACTGTCGTCTTGAAACGACACCTAATGAATGCTACAGTTGTAGTCCCCCAATTCAAAGCAACTACCCTGTGAAATAACAAATCTAGTATAAATTCTTTGTTAATATCTCTCAACACAGGTCGCTGATACAGGTAAGTTGGTTTTAAGTACTATTTTCTCGCATATGCTCTAACGTTCAGAGCCTTAAACGCCAAACAATAACTAAATCAGATACTTGGATTTGGTAGAGATTCAACAATCTCAATCGCCTTGTGATCCACAATTGCAGCGCCATAACGCTCACACATGGGAAACACACGTTCCTTGGGCTGCAAGTCAAAAGGAGTGAGAATCCAGCCCATGCCCGACATTGTCGACTTTGAATATTCCTTCATTACATCTTCATCCTTAGATGAGAGAGACGGGCCACCAAATCTGGCGAGAGCGTCAAGATAATGGTCGAGGATCTCCATCTCGTGAGCCCTTCGGTCCTCCACAGTCATGGCGCCCACAACGCAATAAGTCAGGTCGTGGAAAGGCGATCCAATGTGAAAGGTCTGATAGTCGAGGAAGCGAGGGTTGCCGGCTTTGTCAAGATATGCGTTGCCCGAGTGAGGATCTCCATGTATCAAAGACATAAACTTTGGGTTCTTGGTGGCAAAGTGCTTCTTTATGGCAGACACCGTGCGCTCTCGAGAACTCTTGATAACATCAGGACAAGGAGGCCGATCGGCGCCGTGGATCTGGGCATCCCACATATCTGTGAGGGCTATCATCATGCCCTCATATGCAGGCGTGATCCAAGGGTAATCTTTGTACGAATAACCCCAGGTGCTGGCGTGCAGTGCGGCCAGCTGTTCAACGCCGGCTTTGACCCGCTCGGCAGACCAAACATCCTCAGGAGATCCAAATGTGAATCCAGCGTGGTTCAAGTCTTCCATCACAAGAATACCCTGCTCTTCTCCAGTTCCCGCCCACCATATTTTGGGGAGAGATATGTGGCTCAGGGTTGGCGCAACGAGGCTAAAGAACTTGGCCTCATTGGTATACGCGGCTATCAGGAGCTCTTTGTAGCCCTCGGTAGCCAGCATAGCCGGGTTGAATCCTCCCTTGATGCATACGTGCTTTGGTCGATCTTCCTCGCTGTTATCATACTGGTACTCGATGGTGATGAAGAGTTTGCTGGCCGTGGCGTTCAGCACACTGCGAGTGAGTTTCACAGACTTGACCTTCTGCCCTAACACATTGCCAAGCCAAGAGGCTGTGACTTGTTCGGGGATGGTGGGAAGCGGGTGTATATCGGATGAAGTCATTTTGGATGAATGGAAAAAGAAACGTCAATAAGTGTTACACCCACGGGCTCTCAGGTTTCCACGCAATTGTTCTTATATACCAGTCCAAGCTCGCCTAACTTGGGTGGCATCGCCATGGCCAGGTTAGTGACCCCTGTAGTCTACCGTGACATGCGAACGCTGTGGGTTTTGACTCCAACCGAGTTTACTGGATAGTAAAATACAGATAGCACAGTGGACGTTTCGCCTTGTGCAGAAGTAGAAACCTATCTCTCAAACTCACAAAGGTCCAGGCATGATATATCCCGGCTGTGATCCACCCCAGGTCCCTGCATGTGTTGGTCGAGTATTGTGTGTTGGTTCTTAAATCCCTCAGAGAAATTATCGTACGTTCAAAGATCTGCGAAACACTTGCCGCATCGTCTGTAGTTAATCCTTACGGTTTTAACGACGCGAATGCTCCCTAACTGATTTTCATAACGGCAGGATAAGCTACAAGAAACCTTCCACCAGCTTTACCCAGAATGCGCGTTGCACAACGAGGTGAGTGTCACATACTCATGTGTGTCTAGAATCAGATGATGCTATAAGCATGTACCTGGGCCCCAGAAAGGAGCTTGCCCAGTTAGCTAGCATCATCGGAGGTATTAGTAGTTTACGGTGAACTTGTTGGTTTGTCCCTTGGCTAACCCCCGCATAGACTAGGATGATCCTTGTAAACGAGGTACGGAAACTCGAGGCACAAAGGCATACAATCTACGGCCGCCTGCATATCAATATCTCACCACTGGAAAAAGCAAAACCCTGAACATTCAGGTCCTAGTTACCGTAAGATAGCCCACTGCATGTGTTGGTTGCTATCCGTAGATCCTAGCAGCCATAAGCCTCTCCGATTCGGCAGGAGATGATCTAGCCCTTTAAGTGGATTGATCCCCAGAGCCTAAATAACCAGGTCCATTCACGCAGCGGCGTCGAAAGTTCATATCAAATGTTTTGTTCTGTTGCTTTTCCCTTTCTTCTTCCATCTTGTCACTATTTTGCCTTTTCTGGCCAAGATGGGTGTGAGGGACACTTTCTATCCGCTGGTGATCGCCTGTTTGGTGGTTGACGGCGTCGCCGTTGCCTTAAGACTCTGGGCCCGAAGTATCAAGAAGGCCCTGGGATACGATGATGTTGCTATGATCTTCTCCTTAGTAAGTGGCCTTATTGACCTGTCATTATCTGTAACTACAAGACTGATCTAGGTCTAGATTGGTTTCATTGTTTTCTGTGCAATGGAGCTTCAGGCCATGCGATATGGCATTGGAGCAACGAAGATGGAGGCCGGCTTCGACCCCGTGAAAGCAGCCATGGCATGTCTTTGTCCTCCCGGTGAAAATAACAGTGCGCTGACATGATTTCAGTTCTTTACAACCGCTCAGGTCGTCTACATTCTCACCACTGGGATCTCGAAGCTTGGTGTTGGACTCGTCCTCTTTCGACTCGCGAGCGGCGCCGGCATGAGGCTAGTCCGAATAATTCTAACCATTTCAATGGTAATTGTCACGCTGTGGTGCTTGGTTACGGCCTTGATCTTTGGCCTACAATGCCGTCCACTGTCCGTGGCGTGGGGCGTGGGGAAAGGTTCATGTCTTTCTACAGCAGTTCTCGGAACCACTGGGCTTGCTCTATCCGGTATGGATGTGACTATTAGTTGGTTCTATGCGGTATCGAAGCCCTCATTGCATGATTCTGTGTCGCGCATTGACTAAACGACTACGAGGTATAGCTTCTGCCAATCTACATGCTCTACAAGACTCAACTCCGCCTCCGGCTCAAGATCATGATTATGGTTCTGCTTGGGCTGGGTGCAGTGTACGTCAGCCTTCCTTCCATATACTTGGGCTGAGATTTTTAACATCAATGCAGGAGCTCAATAGCAATCATAATTCGCCTTAAGTACCTCGTTGAACTGAGCAGGCTGGCTTCAGCCTCTGGTGGTCTCGCAAGCCAAGCGTCCGTCGAAACCACACTCGAGGGAACCGTCTAGTAAGTTGGCTCTACGCAGAATCCACGGGAGATAACGGGCCGTATTCTGATCACTTCTTTAGTTCAATCCTCGAAATTGGCCTCAGTATCCTGGCCGCCTCGTCGACCGCGCTCCGACCGCTATTAAAGAGGATCCCTTGCCTCGGCGACGTTGCTTCTGATGGTCCTCCTAAGCCGAATGGCTTCGGCTCCCTAAATACTTTTGGCAATGACTCTCACGACAAGGGGCCCGCTTATCGACTTGAAGACAGAACCGTATTTGACGCCGGTAGCCAAGAAAGCATCATGCCTGCCCGACCGACCGAAATTATAACGCAAACTGATGTCGAGCTCATCTATTCCTCAGCAAACATGAAGAAAGCAAGGGCGCGAGATGGAGATAGCTGGTAGAAGAAGATAGGTTTATCTTGCTATGAGGTGCAAAATACCAAGCATAGGAAGTTCTTCACATGCGAAACATTACTTACTTAGACCAGAAGTATATGTTAATTCGGGGTTCCCTTCTTCAAGTGGGTTCTGAACCTTTTCAAGAAGGTCCATCAACGGCACCAGAACATTCATGCATTCACGGTTCAGCTACAAGCGTGGATCACATCGAAGACCCTTTGAAAATTCATGCCCAAGACTTGATCACTAGGTAGGTAGACAAGGGCAGGGGATGACGGGGCAAATACGTAATAGTAAAAGAAGGAGCAGAGAGAGGCTAACACGCGAGACATTTCCGATTTCGGATTATATATTCACTGAGCCAACACAAAATACCATCCAGGGCGGTTTCATAGCATCCAAAGTCCTCTGATAGGTCAGCACACGAAATCGGGAAACCGGCTGCGACACCGGTGGCTGGGAACCCCCTGTGTGCCCTATCCAGCACCAGCATAATTCGACCAACAAAACGTCGTATCGCGTATTTCTTCAGAGACTGGAGAGTATACGGGCCTCTGTCACTGCCGGGGTAACTTCAATCAGACGATAACAATTACAGAAAACCTTAAGGCGAGGCAAAAGAAAACATTAATCTTGATTATTTACTAAGAAAGGTTCAAGATGCAGTATTTGTGGCTTGTTGTTTATGAAAACGCCCATATTTGAATCGATCCACCCTGGGTGTTGTGCAGAATGATCAACATGACTAGGAAATAGAGTCCAGTTGGCTGGCAGATATACGAAGATGCATGTCTTGTGCTAGCTACATCGCAGTCTGCGAATCCGATGGGAGGATTCATACGTCAGCCTAGTAATTTGTCATAGACATTCGTATAGTCCAAATGGAGCAGATCGTCAATCCTAATACCTCAGTCTCGAAAGGTGACAGGTGGAATATGACTACACTTATATACAATTGGCACCATCGACATCATCCTCACCTGGAACAAGAGTTGCTAAACTGAACAGGGTGAGAATCGCAACAGAACATCTTAGCCAAGAGGGTTGTGCATTCATCAGAGACGAACTTATCTAGGAATGCAAACAGTATTGAAAAGCGAGTGCATACAAGAAGACTAGGTACTTGGTAAGAACATCGGGAATATTACTCACTTGACTGAAACAATCATGGAAGCACAATTCTTGCCGGTCCACCCAATCCACCTGAGCGGGACAAGTCTCAGCTGTACGAGCTTTGGCTTGTTTTAT